AGAGAGAGAGAGAGAGAGAGAGAGAGAGAGAGAGAGAGAGAGAGAGAGAGAGAGAGAGAGAGAGAGAGAGAGAGAGAAGAGAGAGCCTGGAAATAAAGTTGAGTACTGCAGAGTACCATAGACATTCCTCCGTTTATCCTATTGGTTGCTCCTCGGTCGTGAGCTTCCGCACACAGTCAATAATTTATGTGGATTGTTAGAAAGCTGTCAGTGTCACTAGTAAGGACGTTTTTTGGCGGATTGAATGTCAGATAGCATTAAGGGCGCGAAGAGACAGTTCTGTTTATCCAGGCTTCTCTTTCATTAGAGTAGTCCCCAGATCCCGTCGCCTCATTTCTCTCGGACAGCAACGAAGTATTCAGCACTCTCAAAGTGGTTTTCTGATGTCAGTTAGTGCGTACCAACGGGCGACAGACTTCTTCAGTTCAGCTTGTGAAAGATCGATCAGCACTCCACCAAGGAACTCATTCTCGCCAACATAATCGTGATCCAACACAGTCACCTGAAGGCAACGCTGTCGTACCTCCGACTCTGACATGCTGTACAACAAGGTTTCGTTAAATGTCGGGTTAAGAGTTTTTCGCGCAATCTTGGTCTTCAGCTTTGTCGCCTTGGTTGGATCCGGCAGGAGGTAAAGTTTTACGTACGGATCCGCGAGGGTTGTCGTATTTCTGGGAGACAACTCCTTTACGTGCATGACCATTACACGAAGAGCTTCGCGCTCGTGTCGAATCAGCAACTTCACCTGCCCTCCGATGGGTCGTTCGCGGTTTCGTTTCTCTTCGGGGAGAAGGCGAACCGAAAACTTGCTTGCTTCTCTGTTGTCCTGCTGCAATGGGTGAAAGAATGTGTACAGAAGTTCCGATTCCGAAATCTCAGCCGGCATCATCAATAAGTGTCGGATGTAATCGTCGAGCTCGCTTCGTCTGCGCTCAGCCACCACCCGGATCTGCGATCGACCAATGTAGATCTTGCTGGGGAGCTTGGGTAGATTGTTGTCCGGAAACGCTTCGGTGAGCTTCGTGTGTAGCTCGTGGAACTGGTTGAACCGACGAAACACAAATGACGGTTCTTCGACGCCTACGCGGCAAATGTTAATAACGTAGATGTAATACTTCTCAGGACTGTAGCGTTTCTGAAAGTCGACAACTCGCGCAGAATCCACCAAGCCGTCTGAATCGACAGAATACGTTCCGTGAGCGAACGAAAGAACAGAGCTTGGTTTGGAGTTGGCAGGTGCTGAAAGTCTTAGTTGACTGACGTCACGGACCTGCGCCACGTTGTGAATGAAGAAATTTACTTGCGTAAACCAGGAAGAGAGGCTGGCCTCTATGAGTCTCGTGAAGGCAGCCGTAGCTTCTCCCTCGGAGGCGTCTGGGAGCAAGGAATCTCGGATGTACTTCAAATCAGCGACCTGACTTAAACAAGAAATGCCAGAATTGAGCATCAAGGACAATAGGTTTAGAAGCAAGTTGGAGTGGCGCCGGATCACGTTGAAAGCCTTGCAACAAAGGTCTACGAAGTCTTGAAAACGACTGCTGGGCTCGTAACCACCATTTATAACGAAAGCCATGTCCGATGTCAACACGAAGGGGGCCCGATCGCGGCGGAATGAGCCGAACATCTGTGCGTTTCCGAGGATCTTGGCGAAGTCAATGTGAAATAAGTGACCGCTTCTCTTAATCATGATGTTATCGTTGTGACGGTCACCGATTCCGAGGACGTAGGTAGCGACACAGTAGCCTGCACAGGAAGCTGTAAAATTCTCCACAGCCTGTTGGTAGCTTTCATCGCCGGTGTTGTACTTTTGGATCCATCGTGCGATCGGCTCATCCTTAAAGGAACCCACCAAGCCCAGTTCAGTGTGGATTTGACGAAGTGTAACCGAACCTTTAACGATTTCCACCATCCCCATATCGACATCGGTCGCTACACACTTGTAGGTGATCATCTTCAGATCGATTCCTTCTCGTAACCAGATCTTGTTCATGATTCCCACAAGTTGCATGATGAGCCTGTCTTGCCTCATATCGTCGCCGATTTTGAACATGGCGTGCACGTCTTCGCCAAACGGGTCAACGTTCTTGAAAATGAGTCGCAGTGGTGCGGAGTTCGAGGTGAAGTAGCCACTTGCTCTTGCATCAATGCCTTTAACCTCGTAACCAGGACTTATCGGAAGTCTGACGGTTGTGATGAAGCTGGCCGCGATCACTGCTAGCTCTTGCTGAAGGACGTTCGTTCTGGTGGAATCTTTAGCATTCTTGACTGTCTGAGCCACCTGCGTCAGATCGGAGACGATTTCGTCCTGGCTGGTAAACTCGGACCTCTGCGCATTTCCACAGATACTTAGCAGGCCGCCCAGAATGATCTGAAATCGTTGACCGAATTGTGGATCAATGATGGTGTCTTTCAGGTACCAGAACAGATAGTGCATGACCCGGATACTGCCAAGGGACCGACGCACAAGAAAACGGACCAAGGAGGAGTCGTGGTAGATTTCATACTTCAACGCCTGAACAAGTTGAGGAAGGTAATCGCACAGCTCATCGTCTGCGAGCGCCTCCATCCATTCCACTGCTGTGTCTCTCACACGGGTGTCTGGGAAGCTGACCTTGAGTAACTCCATGGCATCTACCGGTCTCAAAGGCGCCCACGAAGCCAGCAGACTGTAGATTTCTGGAAGGAAACCGTACTCCCAAGAAGGCGCGGAGGACAGAATGAGGGGCAACGCTTTAGGGACTGACATGCAGTAGTGACGGTGTTCCCAGAGTAGTTCGCTCTCTTCTGGCTTCAGCTCGTTAAAAAGATCCTTTTCCAAAATGTGCTTGTACACTTCGGTGGTCGTGGCTTGAGGTTCACACCGATCGGTTTCATCGTAAGGTAACCAGCCATTAGCCTCGAAGTCCGGAAACACTATGTCTGCCAAATATCGTTCAAACTCTACTTGCAGAATCACACTAGAGGGGTGCAGCAGGTTTGAAGTACAGGTACCGACTGGGTTGGCTGTGCCATCAGGCCACAAGCCGAGAAGTTGCGTTCCTGATATCAAGACACCCTTGAAATCAAAGAGGGGTACTGCCACCCAGCCAAGCGGTGTTCTACTGGTGTTCAAGGTGTTCCCTTTGCTTGTGGGGGGAATACCATAAAGGGTAAGACAGAGGCGGGACTCACGCGGGAGCTGACGAACGTGAATCCGGAACTGCAGCCACTCGTTCCATCTCAGCTGGTCGAAGAAACTTCTGGTGATCTTCTTTTGCTGCGTCACTTCAAGAGGACAGGACAAGCGTCCTCCGTAGTAAACTCCACTGTGTACTTCAAAGCTCTCAAAGTCCTGATTCCATTGCAGAGGGAGTCTGTTAGCGCATGCCACGTGGATGCGGACGTTGTCCGTCATGCGGGTGACCTCTATGGTACCGGCCAGTTTGGGTCTGTCTACCCTACTGGGGACAAATTCTGTATCAAACGCATCACAGTACATCTCAATGAGAAGCAAAACAGCTGACTGCAGCTTTGAAAGGGCATCACTCAACTCGGCTTGGTCAGGAACCATTCTACCAGAAGTCTCGGTCGTTTGAAGATCCTTTAACCTGCGAACGGCATTAATCACTTCTGCTGTCTCCAAGGTAGCCAGAGTTGCGCAAATGGCCTTCACAGATTGGATTACGCGGCTAGGCTCAAAGCGTGGCATGCTCTGACTCGTGGTTTCTTCCAGCAATTTGACAAGTTCATCGTTGAATGCTTCCAGCAGCACAGTCAGCCCATACCTGGACACAGCAGTGCTGACGGAGCAGTCAAAGAATTCTTTGTAGTTATGAGAAACACTGCCTTCAAGGTCGTCTTCCTCGGTTCTGGCCAGCTGTGTAGAGACCTGCCAGCTTTCAAGGAGTACAAGTTCGACCTCGCGTCTGAATTTGATGCATTCTTGCACATAGCCATACTGAACCAGGATACCGTTTGCCTCAAGATACTCGGAACGACCACAAACTTTAAGCACATAAACTGCAGCTGAACTCAACTCTACAAGTTTACTGTCATCTGATAAGCAACTCAGAGCAAGTTCGATTATTTTGCTGACACGGCTGTGGGCACTGAACGTGAACTTAAGGGTGTCCTGTCGTTCCCTGGTATAAATTGCAAAACTCGCTTCAGTACTGTTAGGAAATCTCTCGTGATCATAAGGAATTGTGGGACTTATCACGTGACCTGGGTTTGTGGCTTCATCCCAGCGGAAGTCTGATCTGAGTTCAGTCATCATTCTGCTGAAGGCAGCGGCCTCTTCGTTTCTCTCTTTAGCAACATCAAACAACCCATCTCCATAAAAGATAAACTTGGAATCACGATCACTTGTCATTGATGCACATGGTGATTTCTTGTCAGGGAACGAGGCTGAGAGTGGACGCTGGGAAATCTTCGGGGGAGGTGGGCGAGGAGGAGGAACAGACATTGTGCGAGAAAAAGATCCTTTTCGTGACTGATGAGACCTTTCACCAGCCTCTTCATCAGGAAACTGCACTCTCAAAGACCTTGTGTCCTTAGAGTTAGTAGTGGACTTATCAGCGCTCTTTGTAATCTCTGCTGGAAAGACATCATTGCCTTTTGAGAGTTTTTCTGTTGAAAACAGTTTCTCACTGCTTCCTTTTCTGGAGAATTCTCCCGGATTCCCTTTAAGCTTCAGAGTGATAGAACCGTAAGGGTGCTCTCCACTGGAATTTGACGATTCAGTGCTTCTTACAGATTGGTTTGTACTATGCATGCTTGGGTCAAAATACTGGCTATTTAATGTCACGCAAGGACTAGCGGTGTAAGTTTGTTGACTTTGAGCTTTTTGAACTGCCTGTCTGCCATTGCAAGCTGCTGGACTTTGAAAGTTCATTAGTTCAGAGGGAGGTTTAAATAATGAATGATAACTAGAAAATTCACCATGAGGAAATTGAGGAATGTTGCTTGGTTTCTTCTCTGGGCTTCTAGGAGGCGAGAGGTCGTCGCAAGAACGGGATGCCCTCAATCTACTCTCTTGATTAAATAGACTGTCACGTTCTACCTCATTGTCACTTGAAAAATCGGTCCATTTAAAGGGATTCAGGTGATTTCCTCCACTCGCAAGGTTTAAGTGTGCAGATCGGGTTTCCGTTTTAGCATTTTGCACTTCGTGATTAGAATTTCTGCTGCTGTTTCGATCACGACTTGATTGACGGCCATCAAAGAAACTCGGTGATAACGAACGTGCACTCTCAGTTCCAGAGCGGCTTCCCGCTCCTGCGTTGAATTCTGACGACAAGACTGCCAGCCAAGATTCTCCCGATGTTATGGCTGCATTGTCCTCCTCGTCGGAAGAAAACGCAATCAGGTCGTCCAAGTCCACTCTGCCTTTTGCCATGTTTCGGTTAAAACCACGAAAGCCGTAACAGTGTCACTTGTAAATCAGTCCTGCCACTTTTGAAAACTATGAATAAATTTCTGCTCTTGAGGAGACACCGCGTAACAAAACATTAGATTGCATCTTTGAAGTTAAAATCATTCAATTTTCGCCTTTCCATTTCTTGACGAAGAGGCTGTAGCTACTACAATAATCACTACATCGACGGATTATCATAAATCGGGAAAATACTGTACTTCGTGTGGGCAACAAGCGACGTTCAAATCCGTGAATCCAAGTAACTTGTCCGTCCGTCTTCCGGTCTTTCTTCGGTGGCTTTTTTCCCAAAATTTCGCTACTTCCAACAAAACAATCGATCGTCAAGGGTCTCCTTTGTTTAAGGACTTTCCTAAAGTTTCACTGAGTCTTCAATATGAATAAACTAACCGTATTTTTAATCGTAGTTCAGACCCTTTGCAATATGACATTTGTAATCAACAACAGTGGACATGTGCGCATAATGTTTGTTAGCATACCGCTGTGTTAGAAGGCTCATAACAAACATGGCGGACAGGCGGACAGGTTTGCTAAAATGACTGCTACTTTCTTGGCCGATTTGAGTATTTGTTTGCGGCTATAATGGCCACATTTGGCTGGAGCTATAAATCAAATGCAAGTGGAAGTAAAAGACCTCGTGAGCAATCGAGAAAAGTAGAGGAATGGCAGAAGAACCGTACTGATAACACTGTGAAACCTCTCCACCCTCAGTCACATTCTGCAGAAACCTTGACTGCTGGTTCCCAGCTCAGAAGAAAGAAGTGTGAGTAGTATGATTTTTTTTTTAGTCTGTTAGAAATCGATAATTTTAAGGCACATCTTATGCATGAAATAAAAAATCCGAAGGAGATTTTCAGCAACATCTTGCGTCTTACACGTCTTATTGTAAAATGTAAATGCTCCCCATATTTCTGGTATTTTTTGGCCTTTGAAAAAATACAGTGGGATGTACAAAGTAAACAATCAGCCATTCTAGTGGAATTATTTACAGTTTTAGGGCCTCTTCATTTGAGCCCGGTAACCAGGCTGGCTCGGTTACTGGGACAAATTTTGTTGTCTGTTCATATGGGAAATTTCAGCCTGGTCTACCGGGATAAAATCCAAGAAACACAACCAAAATGGTGAAACATAAACTTGCATCATTCGCAGCTGTTGCAGCTTTGTGGACTCTTGTAACTTTTCTAATAAAGCTAATTCACCTACTCCTAAAGTGGAAATACATACAAGGCCAAAATTATGCCATTTTGGCCGCTGTGTTGCGAAAGCAAATCTATTTCGTCTAAAAAGTTGTGTCCTGGTTACCCGGGCTGGAGTGTTCATATGGGAAAATTTTCATCCCGGTTACCGAGATCTTGGTCCCAAAACCCAAGATCTCGGTAACAGGGCGAGCCTGGCTTCTCATATGAACACATCAAAATTTTTACGAAGGAAAGAGAAGTGAGGCGAGATCTCGGAAACCGAGCCAGCCTGGTTTACTGCATTCATATGAAGAGGCCCTTAGTTTATGCGGTTCAGGGGTTTCAATGATTTTTGGCTCAAGAGGGTAGTTTAGAAAAACAGGTGGGTAGTTTCTTGGAAGGCCCGGAGGTCTGGGGGCATGCTCCCTTGGGAAATTTTGAAATTCTAGACTCTCGCAGATGTATTTTCCTGCATTTTGGGGCCTATTTTTTATGTTGCTTTGTTGTTCCTAGAAGTCAATCAATTAGAAAGACTAGGTTGATAACGTATGGTATTTTAATTCTTCATATTCAAATCGATTCATGAAAGATACATCATATTTCACCATGAAAAGAAGCATAATATTAAAGTTTAAACACCGAATTGTGTTCCTTTCAATTTACTCAACTAACCTTGCGAAGAATCATTCTTCTTCAACCTCTTTTGTTTTGACACTGGAGCAAAATATGCTAATAACGATTGCATTCTGGCAGCCATTATTATTCATGCTTAGTCCCTGTTTCCTCTCAATTTCTGTATTAGGTTACACTTTTCTTCATCTTTGGTGGTCCAAAAGGCTGGGTTTTAAAAACACCAGAAAGTTGTTTCTTGTACCTTTTTTTTTGTTTTCCTATAACATAAGACTTATTTTGCCAAATTTCTTGAAGAGAATCCTTAGCTGCGAGGAAATTATCTGGTCTTAGTTATTATTTTGTGTATGGCCACCCAGGATGGCTACAAGCAGCTAGTCCGCTCAATACAAGCAGGTAGATCTACCCGCTACCCAGCTATTATTGAAACCCCTGCGGTCAGTNGCTTCAGTGGGAGCTACTAGTCCTATTGAAAGCACTGTTAGGAGTCTTACAGAATCATTATCATTTGAGAATTGTTCCACTTTAAGTTCCAGTAAATACATACAATGTACATGGACTGGATATGTGTTGCTCTCCCTTATGATTTTGAATTCATTCCAACACTGCTCATAGCAGAAAAGAACCATTTTTTGAAGAATATTTATTTTAATTCTTTGTAATGGTGGCTGTGACTATTAACTATCAATTTTTGTCTTTCTCAACCCCTAACCCTTGCATTCGTACATGTTCAAATCCCCCACAGTTAACATTTTACTTACAATTGCAACAAAAGTACAAAAGAAAATAGACATCTGTGGACAGACGACTTCTTATGTTTTTATTCAGGCTCATCAGCTGGTAGAGGCACAAAAGAGGAAAGCTGTTGACAAGAATAATCCCACACTTTACTGGGAGTACAAATGGGCTGAAGATGCTGAGGCAGAGGTACTGGTCAACGCTTCAATGCAATTCAAGTACTGGTATCTGTAGTATGAAGCAAATTAAGACCAAGTATGGCACTGCATAGTTGCTCGGTTCCTCGGAGGGGGCCGGAGGGTGTATTGTAATCCATCTTTATATCTGGATGGGGGGAGGGGGAGCATTAATTACTGGTATGAGTAAAATTTCTTTCCTAACATAACCTGGAAGCAAAGGTCAAATGCAAACTCCTAGGCTGCAAGCAGTCTCTCTTTTGCTCAAAAATCCTTGGGAAGAGCGAAAAGAAGAACTCAATAGAAGTGAGCAGTTGTGAGCATGCGAGCTTGAAATGTGAAGCCATGAACCTGACTTAAAAACTAATGATACAGATAATAGTAAGACCTGGCACTGAACATGTCTATTTTCAGGTGTATGGGCCATATGAAACAAGCCTGATGCTGCAGTGGTCTAAAGCTGTGAGTATAAGAAAGTTTTATATGAAATATGGGCTAAGATTTTGCAGGATACAATGTTATAATACAGTATGAAATCAGTCAGACAGTCAGGCAGGCAGGCAGGTAGACAGGAAGGCAGGCCGGCAGATAGACAGTCAGACAGTCAGACAGTCAGACAGTCAGCCAGTCAGCCAGTCAGCCAGCCAGACAGTCAGACAGTCAGCCAGACAGACAGACAGTCAGTCATACAGTCAGTCAGACAGTCAGTCAGTTGGTCAGTGAGACAGTCAGTCAGTCAGTCAGACAGACAGACAGTCAGACGATCAGACAATCTGTCTGTTTGTTTGTCGGTCATAGTAATTTGTCTACTCGAGGCTTAAAGTGTCTAACCATTGACTTTTTTCTTTAGGGTTATTTTGACGCAGGTTGCTGGGTACGTGAACACGTGACCAAACAAAGTCGTGAGGAGAAAAGTGAACCCAAGATGGCCAAGCTGGTGGATCAAAGTTATGCAGATTCAAGCGACTCAGGGGATGACACGCCATCTGAGGGGGACCCCGAAGGAAATGACTTTGTACATGTGTCTGAAATCGATTTCTCTATGTTTCCTTAATCGCAGTCACACCAGCTTGGATTGAAGCATATTTTAATCTATCAGCATGTATTGGACAGATCCACGTGGAGACAGAGGTCAGCAAAAACATTGCGTCAAGTCTTACTTATCGCAGTGGTTGCTTGGGTTGTCACCCAACGCGTGAAAAGACAAGACTACCAGAAATGTTTTCGATTGGTGTCTTCCATAGTGTCACGTCATCTTGTCACGATGAAGATCCATCCGAGTTCTTGAAAGAAGGTTCTAAGAAAGAAACAACACTTGAAATGTCTTCGTGTAGTTCTGATTTTATTTTGGCGTTTAGTGAGCAATTCCTCCTTTGACTGTGTCAATGAACGAGAAAGGGAAAAAGAGTAAAAACCAGAGGATTATGTAGAAAACGTCTAGCCAACCCTTACATACTTCAGAGAATGTAAGACCATAGACATAAAGTGACTTTCCAAACGTGTTAGATCAGGATTTTTGTTATCAAGACTGAAAAGACCAACGTTTTTAAGCTGCGTGGCAAGCGTTCCCGCACGAAGAGCTTTTCGGCAATGCGGAGGCTACAACGGTTTAAGCCATAATGAGAACGTAAACACATCGAAAGATAATTGTATCTCAATCGATTCACACTAGAGTCTGAAATGCTTATGATAATTATTATAATAAAAACATAACAACTAGTAAAACTACTGCTTCGATTGTTACAATCTCAAGTATATGTACTATACTGAATATAGCTCTGTAGTCATAAAGTCTTGTAAACGAATAATACCCACTTAGTAATTTATTTTGCAGTCGAATTAACGTTCCGAAAACCCTAGTAACTGTTGTAGAAATGTTTCGTCTCTGACGATGAACAAAGGAAATTAAACAGCAAAGCAAGTCTGTTTACTAATTAATTTTAAATTCAAAAAAGCATTCAATGTTTTGTTTTACATTGACGGAGTTAGCGAGCCGTAAAAAAAGAAGATACGAAGGTTTTTTTTAAAGTTTTCCAATTGTTTTCCTCGTCCACTTCACAATCTTGGATGCCCCCTAAAAAGCCTTCCTAAATTTAACTTGTTTCGTGTTCTTGGGTTGAAATTAAGTATTAGTCGATGTTTTATGAAAGTGACTGGGAAGCGTTGAATTAGCGAACGCGAAAATTTACGCGAGCTATAATTATTATGACCTGGATTTTATTTAATGTTTCCGACCAATAGCATGCCTTTAAACAAATAATGCTTGTAATCAAAGCTATCAAAGTTCAGTTCTCGCTTATCGGCTTCAAGAGTTGTTTCTCCGACAGAGAGCTGCGAATTCTTAAAATGGACTTCAAACGTAAAGATGAAGTCAAGAACAAATGTCTTCCAAACTTGCGCTCGGCATCCCTTGTCATTCTGGTCCTTGTGGGAGTGTCTGTGATCAGCGCTGTCGTTTTACTTGTAGGCGAGGTCCGTGGGATGAATCGACGCCTCTCTACTTTCGAGAATACTTTGGAAGATTTGAAACGAAGTACTGATCAAGATCCTCAAATGTCTGATGCTTCATCAGTTGAATTGAGTCCCAGAAAGAAGAGATCGGTATCGAGCAATGCAAGCCAAAAGCAATCGGACTTTGAAAAGCGACTTCAGGCTTTAGAGAAAAGGTTAGCAAAATTCTTGGTAACTTATTGCATAATTAAGAGTAGTACTGTTTGCGGTTTTCTGAATCTTGGCTAAAAAACGCTATAAAACGCTAGAAGATTGCAAAAATCTGTTGATTACATCTCCGAGCTCACCGCAAGCTCTGAAAAAAGGCTACCGGCATCTCAAGTCGGAGTTGAAACTATTAGCAGATGGGGTTTTAACTCGCAGTCAAATTAAGGAAAAATAACCCGTGTAACCGAAATGCTTTCTCTTCACAGAATGAACGAAACCAAAATATCTGCAATGCCGTCAGACAAGGCAAAAGATTGGTGGTTTCTTTCCCTCCTCCGAGGTTGGTAAAAATGAATGATAAATTAGCAGTAAGCCATGTTTTTTCCTGTTCTGTTAGCATACTCTTATTGATCAAACGTCTTTTGTTGTAGGACGGGATGGAAGGGATGGCAGAGAAGGAAGAGAAGGACCCCCGGGCCCCCCCGGAAAACCGGGCATTGCTGGTAGGTTAGTTCTCCATTAGTAATATACGTACCTACGGGGTTTATGTATGTTATTTTCCCTCTCTAATATTAGTATTTCCCTCTCTAATATTTCCCTCTCTAATATTT